AGCTACGGAGATGATAATATTGAAGATAACTCATTAAGTCATAGTTCTGTTAAACTTTTGATGACCAATGTAGATATACTGATATTTTGGGACCGTATTTTGAGACACGTTATCTCCGTCTATGGTTATGTAATTATCTTTTCATAAATTTTATTAGTTGCTCTGGTTTATATAGCACGTTGTTTGTTTTATTCCAATTGTGGCATCTCCCGTCTTTTACCACGCGGGACGGGGGTGTTACAAGTTGTGGTATCAGAGCTATAGGTTATGATCCTGTAGTACAATTTAGGTTTGATCTGTGAGRAATGGGTAGAACTAAGATAGGATTATCCTAGACTCTATATTTTYCCGAGGTGATAGGGATATGAAAAGAAACAGAGATGTGTTTCAAGGAGATTCTAGCGGACGAGGAACCAATCTAATAGAGCAGTGGAAACAATTGAAATACAATCCTCCAATTTCATCTCAAGGAAATTCTCTGTTACGGTGCAAAGATTGTGGTTTTAGACATCGTCCTGGCCTATGTATTCGAATGATCGGCGCCTGTTATAATTGTGGTCAACGAGGTCATATAGCTCGTGATTGTAAACTAGGGCCGAAAGATAATTCTAAAGATAAAGAGAAGCAATCTACCACCGGTGTTCGAGTGTTTACACTATCTGCTGACAAATCTACTGCGGGTATGGTTTCTGGTACCCTTTCTATTGACAGTAAAGATGCATATATCTTATTTGATACAGGTGCTACACACTCGATTGTTTCTGAAAACTTCGAAGAAAATCTTAAATCATATGAACAATCCACTGAATTTCCATTACATATTACTACTCCCATAGGTAGTTCAGTATGTATATTTAGGCAATTCTCAAACTGTCCGTTATTTATTGGCGATCGAATTCGGGAAGTTACTTTACTACCGATGAAAATGGATCACTTCGATATCATCCTAGGCATGGATTGGTTGTCTAAACATCGAGTGACCATCGACTGCAAAGCCAAACAAATCATCTTCGGTGACGTCAATRAACCCGAATACGTGTTCTAGGGTGTTTCACCTGAGAAAGGAACTCGTGTTATCTCAGAAGTAAATGTTAAAGCAATGGTATGGCAAGGATGTGAAGGATTTTTAGCTTCACTACAAGATCCTGAAGAGGTATGCCTTAAACTTGAAGATATTCCTGTTGTTAATCAATTTCAAGATGTCTTTCCAGATGAACTTCCAGGAGTTCCTCTGGAAAGGGAAATTGAATTTACAATTGATTTTGTTCCGGGAGCTGCACCTATCTCAAAGGCTCCGTCTCGTATGGCTCCAACTGAAATGAAAGAACTTAAGGAACAACTTGAAGATCTTTCTAATCGGGGTTTCATTCGACCTAGTGTATCTCCGTGGGGTGCACCGGTCATATTCGTTAAAAAGAAAGATGGATCGATGCGATTGTGTATTGACTATCGGGAACTAAATCGGGTCACGGTACATAATAAATACCCTTTACCCCGTATTGACGATCTCTTCGATCAACTCCAAGGAGCAAAGTATTTTTCTAAGATCGATTTAAGGTCTGGATATCACCAACTTCGGATAAGAGATCAGGATATTCCTAAGACTGCATTTCGTACTCGATATGGTCATTACGAATTCATTGTTATGCCATTCGGGTTAACTAATGCTCCAGCAGTTTTTATGGATCTTATGAACCGGGCTTTCAAATATTATTTGGACGACTTTGTTATCATTTTTATTGACGATATTCTCATACATTCAAAGTCAAAAGAAGATCACGAAACTCACTTGCGTGTTACTTTAGAAACTCTTCAAAATAAGAAGTTGTACGCAAAGTTTTCTAAGTGTGAATTCTGGTTGCATCAAGTGGCATTTTTAGGTGACATTATCTCCGGCGAAGGTATTAAAGTCGATCCTGCAAAGGTTGARGCTATCACTAACTGGCCAAAACCAACAAATGTTTCTGAAGTCCGAAGTTTCTTAGGTCTGGCAAGTTACTATCGACGGTTTGTTGAAAACTTTTCCCGGATCGCGCTCCCTATGACTAAACTTCTTCGAAAAGAATTTAAATTTGTCTGGGGTGAAGAACAGGAAAAGAGTTTTGAAGAACTGAGAAAGAGATTGATTACAACGCCTGTTCTTGCATTGCCATCTGGATCGGGAGGTTTTCAGGTTTATAGTGATGCTTCTAAAAGTGGTCTKGGYTGTGTTCTAATGCAGCACGGCAAAGTGATTGCGTATGTCTCTCGCCAGCTCAAACCTTATGAAGTAAACTACCCTAMTCATGATCTTGAGTTGGCAGTAGTCATTTTTGCACTCAAAATATGGCGTCACTATCTATACGGAGAGACTTGTGATATCTTTACTGATCACAAAAGTTTAAAGTACATCTTCACGCAAAAAGAGTTGAATATGCGTCAACGACGATGGCTTGAACTTCTTAAGGATTACGACGTCCGAATTCAATATCATCCAGGCAAAGCCAATGTAGTCGCCGATGCCCTTAGTCGTAAAAGCATTGGTAATGTATCGTCTTTAACCATTTAGTCCCATATTGCTTCAGATCTAGAACGTATGGGTATCTCTTTGTGTTATCGTGGTGGAAATGAAGTTTTGACTAGTCTCACGATTGAACCAACTCTTGTATCTCGAATCAAAGAGGCTCAAGAAGAGGATGGAGAACTATGGGCTATCTTACAAAAGGCTAAAGACGATTCACAGTCTAATTTTCGAGTTGATGATAAAGGTATTATCTGGTTCTCTAATCGACTTTGTGTACCCGACAATCCTGAATTCAAAGAAGCAGTTATGAGTGAAGCTCATAATTCATTATTCTCAATTCATCCCRGAYCCACTAAGATGTACCGAGATCTAAAACAGTACTTTTGGTGGAACGGTATGAAACGGGATATAGCCGAATACATGGCAAAATGTCTTACTTGCCAGAAAGTGAAGATTGAACATCAACGGGCTAGCGGATTGTTACAACCATTGGAGATTCTAGTTTGGAAATGGGAACATATCTCTATGGATTTTGTGAAAGGACTGCCGAAAACTCAGAGACGACATAATGCTATATGGGTAATAGTTGACCGTTTGACAAAATCGGCTCATTTCCTACATATACAGGAGACGTACCCTGTTAGTAAACTGTCCGATCTATTCCAGCGGGAAATTGTGAGGTTACATGGCACGCCGGTTTCTATCACATCAGATCGAGATCCGCGATTCACTTCTCGATTCTGGAAAAGTCTTCACCAAGATTGGGATACATGATTGACTATGAGTTCAGCTTTTCATCCACAAACAGATGGTCAGACTGAACGAACTATTCAAACTCTAGAAGATATGTTACGGGCTTGTGCTCTTGAGTGGTCTGGTGGTTGGGACGAGTCTTTATATCTTGTGAAGTTCGCGTATAACAATAGTTGGCAATCTAGTATTGGCATGTCCCCGTACGAAGCTTTATATGGTCGGAAATGTAGAACACCGATCTGTTGGAATGAAGTGGGGGAACGAGCTATCGAAGGACCCGAACTTGTCCGGATTACTACTGAACAAGTCGAGATCGCAAAATAGAAAATGAAAAAGGCTTAATCTCGGCAGAAAAGCTACGTTGACAAGCATCGAAAACATTTAGAGTTCCAAATGGGTGATCACGTCTTCCTATAAGTTTCACCGTTACGAGGTATTCGTAGGTTTGGAATTAAAGGTAAACTTAGTCCGAGATATATTGGACCTTTTGAAATACTGGAACGTGTTGGAGAGGTGGCATATCGCCTAGCGTTACCTCCTCAACTATCACATATCCATAACGTTTTCCATATCTCGTCACTCCGCGGATATCATTATCACCCTTTCCATGTGATTGATTGTCCGTTGGACAAAGTTGAAAAAGATCTCTGTTATATTGAAGAACCAGAGCGATAAGTAATAGAGAAGAGAGGCAAATGCAACGAAGGTCAATACCGTTTGTTAAAGTGTTATGGCRAAATCATTCTGAGCGAGAAGCCACATGGGAAACGGAAGAATTTATGCGAAAGGAGTACCCTTATCTATTCGAGTCATGTAAATCCTCTAACCTAATCTAAATTTCGAGGACGAAATATTCTTTTTAGGAGGGGAGGATTATAATATCCGGGTTTCGTTAACTCGTACATACTTGGTTAAGTAAATTTTTGGTAGAATTATGCATAATATATTTGTACCCTATGCTTAACCAATTTGTACCCTAGACGAGTTTTGCGTCCAAAATGAGTTTATATCTATATTGACATAAAGTTAAGAATCTAGACTTGAAGGGTTAAAATCGTCAAATGATTAAACTTTATATATATATATATATATAATATAATATAATATAATTAAAAAAATATATATATATAATATATATACATATGCATGCAGAGGCGATTTCACCGCCTCATTCTCAATCTCTCGCCTCTTTTTCTCTCTCTAAAATTCTCTGATTTCTTTCTAAATTTGGCGTCAAGTTACTAAGAGGATCGAAGTAACAATTATATATTCGGAATCCACTTTCCGAACCCTTCTTAAAGGTATAAATTTCATTCGATTTCATTAAGGTGTTTATGTTAGGGTTATTTAGATCGGTTTATAAACTGTGTTTATATCTAAGTTTACGGAATGATGTTGTCAAAATCATGATATATTTGATGTTTAGAATGTTAGAACTGGTTATATTGATGTAGAAATGAAAAGGGTATATTATAGTTTCATTATGGTTAGATTGTGGGTATATGTTTAACCGTACACCAATTGTTCGGTTAAATGTCGAAAGGAGTAAAAATGCATTATTAAGCTTAGATTAACGATCATTAGACTTGTTTTACTGTTTAGTATGTTTATAGTATGTAAATGTAGCGAATCATGAAAGTTGAATCATAAAAGTTAGTCGGGAATTACGGAATCGAACTTTACCGACAATGCAACCCCTGTACTTTGGCAGTGTATAACTCACAAACCGTAAGTCGGAATAAGCTCGTATTATGCAGTCAAAAAGATCTTACTGCATACTACAACTTTTATGAAGAGTCGAAAATCCAGTTATGAATCTAGGTGGCTCAAAACAGTGTGTTTTTGGGGCTGTTTACACTGTATTCGGTATTAATTTGCAGTTTTGTAAAATTCATATAAAATAGATGGATGATCCAAATGAGATTATTTTTAAAGCAATAGACTCGTATGATACCAACCTACAACTTTCGTTTAGACAATATAATCTGGATTGGTTTCTAAGTAAGATAAAAATGCTTAGAAATAWGAGGGTCGGAAACGGTTGGATCGAAAGAGAATAATGCTAAGTTTTACGTTTGAGTTTTCAATTCATATCCGGCTGTCCTTCTTGAAGTCTACGGTATTTAGGTAGATTAAGACCTAAGTAATTTTATTTGAATAGTTATATTATGGTTTCTATGCTTTATAAATAGTAATCGTTTATGCATTCGTTTGGCACGCGGGTAAATCGGACTTGATCGTGAACTTCCGTTTGATCGTGCGTTAATTGTCAAAATCGGTGAAGGTACGGATTCCATATCTCACTTGACACGGGGATAGCCATTTGCGTAAGGCTTCCTAATCCGAATAATCTGTGATAAATTCCAAATAATTTGTTTTGAATTTCCTTTATGCTTATCGAATGTTATTGAACTTTGTTTCCCTTCGAATTACGATTTATATTTTTATTCGGAATATGGATCATTTTGATCACTTGACTTGTTTGTTTGCTTTATTGTGAAACATTTTACTATAGACTCAATAACTGGAGCACCGGTATTGAGATGTTTCCATGGTGACTAAAACGATCATGGCGTCCTTATTTTTATAGTCCTTAAAAATGGACTTGATTATGTACCRGTCGAATAGAGGGCGTATGGATCGATCCTAGGAACCGTTATCAGATATTGAATTGTGGTCGTGGTTAAATCCACGGAGAGGATTGATGTGTTGTGCTCACACCCCTTTCCTCACTTGTGCCTGAATGGACTGATCATCCTTTGGGAACAACGCGTCCTCGTGATGCAGTT